TTAATTTTGAATTCATTTTAATTTTAGAAGCATTTTAGATTTAGAGAAACATTGGATAGACAGTACAGAAAATTCCCATGGACCCCACAACTCAGGTTTTCCTGTTGTTAACACCTTATATTACTCTGGTATATTTGTCACAACTAATGAACCAAGATTGATATTATCAGTTAAAGGCTACATTTATCCAGATTTCCATAGTTTTTGTCTAATGTCCTTTTACTGTTTTAGGATTCCATCCAGGACACATTATATTTAGTTGTCATTTCTCCTTAGGCTCCTCTAGATTGTGATAGCTTTTCAGACTTCCGTTATTTTTGATGACCTTGACAGTTTTGAAGCATACTGGTCAGGTTTTTTGTAGGCTTTCCCTCAATTTCGGTTTTTCTGATGTTTTTCTCATGTTTAGACTGGAGTTATGGTGACTTGATAGAAAACAAAATCAAGTGCCACTTTTCATCACATCATATAAAGAGTACATGCTGTCAACATGACTTATTACTGATGTTACCATGGACTGCTTTGCTGAGGTAGCATTTGTCAGCTTTTTCCACTTTAAAGTTATACTTTTTCCTCCTTCCATATTATTCTATCTACTCTTTGAAAGGAAATCACTATGCACAGCCCATGCTCAAAGGGTAGGGCTCCTCCTGGCGGGGGCGGGGGGCACGTTTCTACATCAATTTTTTGATTCTTCCTTATGGGAGATTTGTCTATTCTCCCTCATTAATTTACTTGTTCAGTCTTTTATTTATATCAATATGGGCTCATGGATATTAACTGATACTTTGTGTTATGGTCCAAAACCATGTTATTGCCTTTGTTGCTCAAATTGTCCTTTTGGCTACTGAGAGATCTTTCAGCTGGCCCCCTGTGTTCTCTTGACATATTCCCATCAATGTGGGTTTGGGTTTGTTTTTTCGTTTGTTTGAGAGCTTCCTTACTTTCTAGAACTACAAGATGCTCCCAACTCATTTTGTATATTTCGTGCCCTGTCCAGGCTCATCTTGTAGATTCATATTGGAAATTTTCATATTAGTCTGGATTAAGTCTTAAGACAATAGTCTCTTAAGACAAGAGACTAGTTCTCTCTTGTTTCTATAAATGTACTGCCCATTCCTCTAAGGTCTACCCACCATTAATATATTGGATTTCGTTTCTTCTTGTCCCCTAGCCCCAATATCATCATTCTGGCAAGTTCTTTCTCGAGACTGAATACTCTCAATTAGTATATATACAAATATGCTGCCATTTTTATATCTTTTCAGAAAGCATTTCTTCTTTTACATCACCCTACCTTCCACCCAGCTACTACTCTTTTCCTGACTTCTTTTAATAGCACAGCTTCTTGAAAGATGAATGTACAGTTCCTCTCTCCCCATTTGCTCTTGAAATTACTCCAAACATACTTTTCATCCTTTACTCAATGAAACACTTCTTGTCAATGTTACCGATGATCTGCACCTTTGCCAGATCCAGTGATCAATTCTCAATCTTCACTAACTTGACCTTTTACAACCTTTGACACTGTTGATGACTTTCACCTTTTGAAGAGTTTAGCTCATTTGTGGATCTCCTCCGTGCTTATTCACTGCTTCTTCTTAGTCTCATTTGTTGCATCATCCTTCCCTCCCCAGTATCTAAATACCTCAGATCCCCAGGGCTCGATTCTTGGAATGTTATATACAGTCACTAACAAGGTGGTTCTCAACCAAACTAACGGCTTTTTCTTACTCTGGTACCACAAATCTAGCAGTGCCTTGCATATACACACTGTATTCAATATAAATTTGTTGAATGAAATAAACCTAATTTGCAACATGATTATTATCTGGCTACATCCACGTGTGTTTCTAAAAATTTTGAACGTAATTGAAACAACTTTAATCCAAATGAGCATCTCTACCAGTAGAGTTTCTGATAATCTTTCAGGTCATTACAAGAGATAGTTGAAGACTGATGGGCGTACTCAGCATATCTGACCCATCACCAAACAAATACTCATCTACATATCAAATGGAACTTAGCAGCTTCATTCACAGTGACAGTTAAAGAGAGCGTTTTAAATTGGGTGATAGGTTGGAACTATATTGAGCTTGCCTTTATTACAGTCTAAATTGTGGAAACTAGAATAAACAATGTTTAAAATACCAATTGTGAAATCCCAATTATTTATGGTGTCATGTTAAAGGATAAGGCTTAAAGGCGTTTGTCTGATGCCTTTAGTTATGGCTGAGCTAACTTTCTAGCATGTCTATAAGATTAGAGATGTGACATTATCCATGGCTAATCCAGGTGAAACAGCCAACAACTTTCAAAGAAGAAAAATTTTTCGAACTTACTCATGACCCATAATCAATAAGTGAAAGCAGACATTAAGATAAAATTTCTGCATGGCTCTGTGTTCTTATTATACACTAGTGCTTTTTTTGAGGGGAAAAGAAACTTTATTTTTTCTCATAAAGCTCTATCAAGTGACTAGTGTGGAATAGTGCAATATTATAATATAACTAGTTTATAATTTATTCTCACTCTCAGGTCACAGCTTTCTGTGTTTAAATTAACATCATCACTAAAGTATATAAAGCTTTAGAAACAAACAGTGATCCCTGAAGCAGATTTCTGTCAAAGTGGCTCTGGGAAGTCTGCTTATCAGACAAAAGCAGATTTTAAAAATTAGACAAATATGAGAACGTTCTGTCCGCTCATATCTTAGCTGCAAATTAGTGAAGCAACCTCTCGTAGGAGGTTCTCCAATCGAATGCCATCTTGGTTTCAGGGAGGGGTTTGGAGGTTGTACATTCTTGTGTCCAATCCTTATCATTACTAGGATCACCCTTTAACAAGCAGTGAAGCAGTATGTGTCTTGGGGGCTTCCCAGCTTTGTGAAGCGCATGTCCACTTTCTCCCTTTGACCTCCCTCACAATCCAGGTACCCCTTCAGGCTTGCCGTCCTTAGCGTCCTTCTCTCTTTCCCTCAGTCCACCTCTCCCTCTCCTAGCCAGCAACTTAGAGAGCAATCCCTTCACCCCTTCTTTTTTTTTCCTCTTTTTTTTTTTTTGCGGTATGTGGGCCTCTCACTGTTGTGGCCTCTCCCGTTGCGGAGCACAGGCTCCGGACGCGCAGGCTTAGCAGCCATGGCTCACAGGCCCAGCTGCGCCGCGGCATGTGGGATCTTCCCGGACCGGGGCACGAACCCGTGTCCTCCACATCGTCAGGCAGACTCTCAACCACTGCGCCACCAGGGAAGCCCCCCTTCTTAAGGACTTAACAGAGTGAATTCACAATAGTGGAGGCCCAGGAAGCATGACAGATGATAAAGAATATATTCTAAGTCAGAAACGGCGGTGCACTCTGCAGACTCAAAATACTTATTCTTGTATGTCCTTTGCCAAGAGAAACATGAAGAAAAGGGGCAGTAAATTCAAGTGAATGAAGAGAATGAAGTGAATAAAAAAAAATCTTATTCAAATTACAATAGAAATGGCAAAAACTTCACACAGAAATACTGGAATAAAGGTTAGCGTTTTCTGTCTGACTTTAAAAGAAATATCATTATAAAGTACTCCAAAACCACATTAATTAAGGGGAACTTGCAATTCTTTTTGTAGAAGCTAGTTTCAGCCCATTAATTGTGTTTTAAGTGCATTGAAAAGAACACTAGATTCAAAATCAGGAACTCTGTGTTCACCTGTGACTAATTCCGCTACCTCTGCCAAATCACTTATTTTCTGAGCCCCAGTGCCTTATTTATAAATTGGGAATATCAGATTATTTGATCTTTAAGATTTTTTTTTAACATCAGGATGCTATGTTTCCATGCTTTTACTGAATTTTTTTCTCCTTTTCCAAGACCTCTTCACTGTAAGTAGAAATTTTGACTTGATAGAATAATGACAAGTTCGGAGTTTTTTTTTTTATCATTACCCTACTTTCCACAAATTAATATGCATAGTAAATGTCATGTTATAAATGCAACAAGAGCCATAAAAAAATTGACTCACTCTGCTACCCAAAAGGACAAGGTTATTCCTGGGGAATGGCAGACCCAGACTAAAAAGAGTGCATAGAAATTTCACCTCTTAATTCTGATAGTTACATTACTTAACTAGTGACATTGAACAAATTACTTAATATTCCTAGAGTTTTGGTTTCCTCGTGGCAAATTAAAGATAATAGTGCTTCCTACACAAGATCACTGTGTAGATTAATGAGATAATTAATGAATAGTGCATAATACATATACGACTCTCAATTTTGTTGAAGGGTTGACATTATTTCTCACCTTCAATTTAACTGTTTCATAAGATCTTTAGGGAATACACTAACTTTCGGTAAGGTCAAAATGTTTAAACAACATAGATTTAAAGCCAAGTGGTGACAGGGTATGAAATGAAATGCAATTAGATTTTCTCCAGTTGCATAAGTGATAGCATTCATGATCCTATCCACAAGTCCAATTCCTACAGAACTATGTCACACTTCACTTCACTCCTCAACAAGCTGTAATTTTCATTTTTAAACAATTTATAGTAACTCTCTTGATCTCTCATGCCCTTCCAGCAACCTTGCTATTTTCCTTTTATAGCAAAAACTTCTCAAGGAGTTATCTATAATCACTGTTCTCAGTTCTTCATTCTCTCTTTAAGCCACTCCAGTCAGGTACAAGAGACAATCTCTTTTGTACCCACTACTGTACTGAAATTACTCATCAAGGTCACCAATGATCTCCATATTTTAAATTTGTGGTTAATTTTCAGTCCCAATTTCATTTCTTGGTCATATTCGATTTGTCATTTGACCCTCTCTTTTTTTTTTGATACACTATCCTTACTGGAAAGGAAGCCCTGCTTTTTCTCTCTCGTTAGATGCTTTTTTTTTAACTTTGATTCACTCATTTCTCCACATATCCCAGACCTTTAAACATTGGAGGGTCTCAGGTCTCACTCTTTGAACTTATTCTCTTTTCTGTCTATACTTATTCCCTTGGAGATCTCAACAAATCACATGTCTTAAAAACTATTGCGCTGCTGTTGATTGCCAAATTCATAGGTCCCAGAATTATTTCCTTGACTCCGGTTGTCTGTTTGGCATCTCCATTTTGATGTCTAGTGAGCATAACAAATTCAGTATACACAGAAACAAAACTCCTGATTTTCATCCCCAAAACTGCACCTCCGCACATCCCGCTCATCTCAGGAAATGACAATGCTGTCAATCAAAATAGCTACTCAAGCCAAAGACCTTGATGTTGGCCTGGGCACCTCTCTTTCTCTCATATTCCATACACCATCTCTCAGGAAGCTCCAGAAGCTCTTCAGAATATACTCTGCATCTAATCTTTCTCCTCTCCTCCACTGCTACCACTCTGAGCAAATCCACAGTCTGTTACTACAGTAACCTCCTGACCAGTGGTTTCACCATTTCTATCCTTGCCTCTCCCTCGTAGTCTCTTTTCCAAAAGTAGTTAGTGATCATCTTAAAATGGAAGCAATGCCACGTCAATTCCTGTGTTTGGTATCCTCCAGTGGCTTGCCGTCTAATGGTGAGTGGCAGCTAAATTCCTTGTGGAGATTTACAAGTCCCTACATGGTCTGGAGCCCTGTTACTCTTGGACCTCATCACTGGCTCTTCTCAGCTCTCTTCAGCTGCTCTGTCCTTCTCCCTGTACCCGGGATGGACACGCTAGCCCATTGTCGCTTCAAGGCAACATCCCTATGGCTCCCTCCCTCACCTCTTTTAGCTCTTTCCTCAGTACCTTTTCACCAAGACATTCTCTGTTCACTCTATTTTAGATTGCACCTGTCTTTGAACAAATATCTAAGCACTCCGTACCCCCCTTCCCACTTGGTGAATGAAGGCTTCTTAGTACCTGGTCAGTGAAGACTTTTATTCATGTATTTATTTTTCATCCTCTGCCTGTTCTAAAATGTAATGTAGAGATTTTTTTCTGTTTGGTACTATACCCCCAATGCTTAGGCTTGTTCCTTGCATTTAACAGACTCTCAATAAACTTTTTGTGTAAAGTAACCATTTATTTCAGGATATTGTCCATAGAGCTTACATTTTCTTTTCAAGAAACTGAGTATTACCAATGAATGACTGAGATTCTGGCCTCTTCTGCCTTTCTGAAGAGGATTTCTTAGTAGCATGGATGGTCAAATGTAAGGAGACATAAGTTATCCTATCTAGCCACTGTTAGCACGATATTTTAAGATTATCAACAAAACGGTGTAAGGACTTTACTTTTAGCCAAGTGACCGTTTGGTTGGTTGGCCCGTTCAGTTCTTGGTGCCCCTGCTCCTTTTATCAGCATGCCTGTGGGAGTTCTCCTACACAGTTGGCCCTCCTTTCATCTGCCTACAATTTCAGCTGAAACATCTTTGTTCAAGGTTGATTAAACAGAACTCAGAGTATACTTGTCAGTCTTCTGTGGCTTCATCATATGCTTCATTCTATGCCACCCTTTGCCTCCAATTTGACAAATATAATAAATCACTGTCTGGGGTGAGGGGCCATCATCCCCTGTCTACCCTCCCTGAACCCAACACATCTAGTACCACATTCTTCATGATACTTCTATTACCCCTATTCCCAGCATAGCATGCGCTGCTCCTTCCTTCCCCTGACTCTTGATACCCTGCCTAGCTCTGCTCTACAGTCTGCATGTTGGTATGTAAGTACCTTCGAGTGAGTCTTTCTCCTCTGCTTGTTATGGTAGACTAGATATAGTGGAATCCACAGTATCGAGTAAGTTTGTTTGTTTATTTCTTAATAAAGTGATATATCTGAAGTTACCCTCTGCCTATCACTGCTCTCAAATATTCGCAGTCATAGGAATTATTAGTATAATTTTCACTTTATCTTCTGAAATATGTGCAAGCCCTTTGAAGACAGAGACCACGGCGAGCATTCACATGTCACCTGTGGAGTCTTAACAGTACCAGACCTTGTATGTTGTTGGTACTCAATAAATAGTAATGTAAGAACTTGATTATAATTTATCATAACATTATTGCTACACTCATTTTATAGAACAGATGATAAATATTATGGATTCACTGGGACTGAACAAAAATTTCACAATAATTCTCATTTTCCTGAAAATGGGAGCTTCTTTGGGTCTCTGTGTAGCTAACCTAAGCCTGCTTAAAAGCCCCCTAATCACTGTGACTAAGGACTATTCATGGACCATCAAGTAGTAGGAGTCAGGGTCATAGTAATATTTCGAATAACTTGGATATCGATCGTGCCTTTCTTCTGAAAATGGGAAAGAATGTGATACCATCTCTACAGTCTGCCCACTCAAACTCTGTAGACTGCTTTCACCCACAGTAATACCTTCCGGCACAGCTTGATCTCGATGTTACTGTACCAGCAGCACTTCATTAATCGTGGAGCAGAGGCTGGGAATGGCCCTCAAACCTGTGCCAGAAGCTCCCCATGGGGCCAAAGTTGTCACCTCACAAAGAGAACATTAAGGGAGGGAGGGGTATTGGCACCTGGATATTCCTTAACTCAGAATGCACAGTCTTGATTCAGCCTTGAAATTAAAAGCTTGGTGAAATAAAACTTATACCCTGAGCATTCACTCTGTCCGTCACTTGCTCGTTCAGTGTTAACAGTATGTGGTAGTTAAATAATAATTTAGCCAGTTTACAGATGAAAAAACTGAGTCTCAAAAAGGAAATTCACCCATTCAAGGGTAATCAGCAAATGGTGGAGCTTTGTGTATGCCCAAGTCCCTTAGACAATGTGTGAGGTTCCCATTATCCTGCTCTCTCACTTCTGAGCATAACAGAGAAATCCTACAGTAGTGATAATCTCAAAAAAAAAAATACTTTTAATCTTTCAAAGTAACCAGCCCCTGCATAAGGTTTGAAATTCCCTTCCAGTTTCAAACTCTAGCCACGTGCCATACAAATATGGAGTATTTTGAGCCTTTGCTTTCCACGGTGCTTTGTTGGTGATGGTCCTGCTGCCTGCTAGTGGCCATGGTTAGAAGCAGAAATAGAAAGAGAAAGTTGAGATTGAGAGTTTTAATTTTTTTCATTGGTTTCTTCTTTTAAGAATCATACTTATTTTTCCCTAATTCTTAAGGAGACGTCACCCAAGAAAATTATTTACTCTCATTCTCTTCCTATGAAGTGAGGAAGTATGCTTTTGTTTTGTTTTTGTGTTATGTTTTCCTCTTTTGTTTGTTGTTACGGCTTGAGCCCCTCTAATCTTTGCTTCTGCCATTCCTTTGTTGAACTTTCTCAGTTGCTTCAACTGAGTAATACATTCTTGTAGAAACTGTAATAGTCTTTTAAGCAGGACAAAAAAAAAATTAGTTGGATATTAATGGAATGATGAGATTTGCTCAAAGGTATGAACTCTGTAGGAGAGTATTGCTATGAAGTTAAATGAAATTGTTTAAAAACAATGTAGATGAAGTCAACTCATATCTAAAATTCTGACAGATCCTTTGATTGGGTGATCAATGGGGATGTTAACAATGGAACATGTTAAGTGGGATTGGGGAGGTGGATTGTGCCATGAAAGAAGGCTTTCCAGGTAGGTTGAAGATGGAATATGAAGAAGTCAGTTTGCCAGAGTAACAGAATGATACTTTATCCTGAAGACAATAGCTGTTAGAATTTTAAACACAGAAAAAATATTGTCAGACCTGTTTCTCATATGATAAGGACATCTGGCATGATGGATTGGAGTGGAGAAAGGAGAAAATGGTGATGATTGTACCAGATCTTCTGACCAGGAAGGAGAATTTTATCAGTTTTATCTTAATTTAGTTTTCACTCACATTGGTAAATTTCAATCCTATCCCTCAGATGGAGGGGTTTTATTCCTGGGAGTTTTCCTTGCTAGAGACAGGATATTCCAGCTGTATTTAGTGTGGAATATTAAATGTAATGATTTGTAACCCACTATTTGGAAGGTTGCTCTGTGATATTCCACAAAATTAAGAAATAAAATTGCATCCATTGTATTTTATGAGCCAGGGGTTGTGATATGATGGTCTGTGGGCCACCAGTTTTATAAATAAAATTTTATTGGAACTTAGCCACACCCATTTGTTTATGTATTGTCTATGGCTACTGCAGAGAAGTAGTTGTTACATCAGAGACCACATGGCCCACAAAACCTAAAATACTCGCTATCTAGTCCCTTACAGAAAATATATACCAACTCGAGTCTTAGGCAATGTTGTTTTTGTCAGTGTATTTTTCCTTTGTTTGTTTTTAAAGTTTTGAACCATTGAGGAGATAAATATTCAATAGTATTGAGGTTGCTGCATTACATTTTACTGATCAGAGCTCTTAAGAGGAACTGAAATGGAAATCTGGAGAAAAGAGTTGAATAGAAGTCCTCTCAAACAGCCTAAGTTACAGAGTACTGCACATATACACACAGACATGTACACACACACATAGTAAAAAACAGAAAAGCAAGAAGAAACAAAAATGGAACAATTTGTTTTGCTCACTGTGTTACATAACGCTTTATCTTTTTTGTTGAAAGAAAGCCAGACTTGTCTTTTAGAGTATTTAATCTCATAATGAAGTTTCTAGGCATTCTTTTCCTGGACACTGAGGCACCACTCTTTGTTGAAAGTGTGTAAATGGTCTTGTCAGTATAAGTGATGCAAACGAATGCAGTCCTCCAAAGATGCACAAGAAGTTTTCCAACTGTGTCCTGAGTTACCCTCCTGTTGGTGAAGAAGGCAGAGCTATGGAAAGTCAGAGATATTTAGATGGTCCATCAGAGATTGAACAAAGAGAAAAATGATTTCTATTTTAGAAATTTACTAAAGTTATTTTCCATGGGTTTTGTGCTTACTGTGTCTCACACACACAGCTAGCAATTTATATATCTCTGTTAAACTGCCAAAAGTTTGCAGCATGTAACCGTACTTCATCCAGTGCCTCTACATCCTGTGTCCTCATGTATTAATGGGGGGTAATTTCATAGGTGAGTAAACCTATCTCACTTTCTAATTTCATACAGGTGGTAAGTGGCAGAGTAAGGATTCCAACCAAGTCTGTATTCTACAAAGCCAGTGCTTTTCAGGATATCACACTGACTCTAATAAAGGTCAATACCTTTTTTAAAAATCCCAAGCATCTACCTCCTGTCAACATTTATGATTTACAAAACAGAAACAGACTCACAGGCTTCAAAAAC